TTTGTTCGTAAACGATATTTTCCTCGCATGCCAATTTGTAAGCGTTCATGCCTATGCGGATGATATACAGTTATATTTATCGAGTAACTTTGAAAATGTAGGCATGTTAGTTCAAAATTATAATCGTGACTTGTCTTCTATTGAGCGGCGGTCGAAGAATAATGGTCTTCTCCTGAACTCTAAAAAATCGTATGTATTACCAATCGCAAAGCGGAAACTTAGTGACACTACTATACCCCATTTAGTTGTCGGTAACAAACCACTGCAATTTGTAAGCAAAATTACACACGATACGTCTACGGCTTGAAGAAATTTGATCACATATCGGAGTGGAAAACAAGTTTGTTAGGGTGTAAAATTCACGATTTCCAAGTAGCCAGGAGCTGCATTTTTCTGTACCGGCTAATGAACGCCAAGACGCCTTCTTATCTTTACGACAAACTGATATTTCCAAAGTCCGGGCGCACAAGAGACCTCATTGTACCTACTTTTAACTTTGCAACATCGACTAGACTGTTTTTCATCAACACGATTAGAAGTTGGAACTCCATTCCAACTGCAGTAAGAGGAAAATTAAATAAAAGCAACTACAAAGCTATCTTATACTCTCATTTTTCTAGAGGCCAACAAAATTAGACTAATTTAGTTTAATTTAATTTAATTTAGCTTTAATTTAGTTTAAGATTATAATTAAGTTCAATTGTAATTACATTTCGTTTTAATTTTTAACATTTGATTGTTGGTATTGCTCTGTTGTCGTATATTCAGTGTAAGTTCTATCTATTGTCTCATATTCAGTTTTAGTTCTATCTGGCGTCTCATACTCAATGTAAGCTTTATTGTATTTTGTACCTATATTTGTTGTAATAAAAAAGAAGGCAACTCTTACTGTACTAATATCACCATTTTGATAATATATGAATTGAAATGAAATGAAATGAAATGAAATGAAATGAAATGAAATCTTTCTTATATCGCAAAATACAGAGCACTTAAGATACTCATTCTCTCACTTATAGAATCCACAAAAAAATTCAGCGCCTAGCTGCGACACCCATACATTTATTTTCTATTTTCAACATGACTAACAAAATTTCAAGACGGGAAATTTTTATATTTTGACTGTCGACTCCTAACAATTAAAAACTTGAGATAATAGATTTTGTTTCTGGTAATACATATTATTAACTTGATAAATTGAAATCATATGTGCGAAGCCTAATTCAGAAATTGGGCAAACATTTTCCGAAAAAGATAGCGGTATCTTGCTGCAACTAAAGATTGGCTCGAATTTCAAATAGACTTGTCACAATTTGTGTGTTCTAAGAGTCAATTTCAATTAAATATTTAAACGGCACTTAAGTTTAATTTTGGAGTGCTATTTACATAAATGCCATTTAGCTTTCGTTGTGTTTCAGATCAATACTATTTAAACAAATAAGTACCAACACTGTTGCTTGTTCTTTGAAATTGTTGTTGCTTGGCATCACCGCTTAAAAATTGGAGCTGTTTTACTAGAATTTCAAACCCGATTTACCTGCATACCCATAATTGTTCTTAAAATTCAGACTAAAAAGCTCACAATTATATTCAAAAATGTTTTTTTAATGAAAAAATGTGATGGAAAACAACAATAATTTACAAGTAAGAAGTTATAACTGATATTTCGGAGATCACCACATCTCCTCATCAGACTTCTTCATCCAGTTCACAGGGATTTGGCATAACAAAAACTTTTAATTTGAAAAAAATTGCAAATATTTAACAAAAATAACCATGCACTCACTTTTGATCGCCAGTGTACCTCATATTATCTTACTGAATTTAATATAATTTAATTAACATGTAACAAATATGAATTTGCATTATAATCTTTAGGTTTATGACGCGCGCAAGTGCGTACAAAAAGAAACCAGAAATTTATGAAAAATTTAAACTACTACATCAAATTAGACCACTGTGCGACGACTAGGTACATACCTTAGGTAGAAGAGAAGTCGTCAGAACAAAGTCATACCGACCCATTACTAATAAGACAGCTGAGGCCTTGACGGTCAGATTAGCCTAGCTGAGATTTCAAAAAACGATGGGGTGCACCTTAAACGGTAATAACCCGAGGCACACGCCTTTAGTTTTCTTTTACTTAAATATCACGAAGATGCAATGAACTTTTTAGTAAAAGAACGCATTTATTTTTTATAGATCTTTCTTTCTTATATTACTAAAATTTTTTTTGTAGATAGGCTCCTCTGGCCCTCATGGCCTCAATTGTGGCGCTAAATACTAAGCTTTCTTAAATCTAGAACCATAACTTCCACTTTAAGATAAGACGTTCCTAGGAGGAAGTGATGCTCACAGTATTAAAGTTCATCCTAGTAGACGAACTACTCTGCCTTTGGGCATTTTATATATTTTTTAAGCTAAAATGCGTTTTTAAAAAAGAAAACAAATTGAAACCCCCAATTTTGAAGGTCATTTGAAAGGTCAAAGTAATTTTTTTATCCAATGAAACTACTGTTCCTGAATTTTTCATTTCAAACCATTTAAAACACTGCTAAATTTTTTTCGTTAGATGTTCTCGATCTCGAGGTATTCGATTTTGTCACAAAAACAAGTTAATTTTCAACATTGTGCGGCGCTCCCCGCCTTGAATGTACGCGAGGTTTCTTCGAAACTAGAGACCGATCGCCTGCCGCTCTTAACATTCATCGAATTAAGAAACCGGGGATTTACTTCATTTGGTTGCAGACATGCATACCTACATATATTAGACGGAATTACTAAATCTGAATGAAAAAGGAAGGCGCAACATTGCTGGGCGAATACGGAAGGTAAATCCCTTATCCCGAAAATATCAACAAAAAGAAACTCAAAGCACTCATTCACCTAGCAAAGCATGACGTAAGAATTATTAAAAGCTTTCCTACTGCAGGGTAATGAAGCAAGTTCCAAAGCTTGAGCAAACATGCTGCGATCGGTGCAGGTTGTATCATGAGGAACAAGAAAGAGCAGAGCACTTATGTACCTCTGTGCAGCCATAAGTAGGCTCAGTCTTATCTTCCTGAGAACCTGCGAGTTTCCTTAACGTTGATACGTTAATCAAAGAAAATATATAGCCAAATATAAGCTTGTTACAATAGATCGGATGCACCCTCTATTTAACTACTACTTTCTTGAGAATATCGATTGCCTTGATGTATTCTTTCATATGTATTTCACTGAAAAAATTAATTATATTTATTTTTAAACCATTTTGGAATAACGGGAAATACATATATTTACCAATAAGTTATTCCGCTCATAACGAAATCGTGTGAAAAACAGTTTATTAGGAAAGAAATATGTACGTTTACCCAAAGTTAA